CAATAAGTATATTACATTATAATAAATCCGCTCCACTTTCGAGCTTCAACAGTACTTCACAATAAATCATTTAGTATCAGTGTTATGTAGTTTAATCTATACAGATATGTTAAAGGTAAAACAAATATGACTAGGGTATTGTGTAACTATATACCAACATGGATACTCTTATATCGTACCTTTCTGGTCATGGTCTGGTAATTAGGGCACTCGACTCACAATCTGAACTGCAGGAGCTTCTACTCGCCTGCACGTACTGGTTTTATTTTATTGGTAATATTGTAACGTAGCACGAGTGTATAACATGCATGGTAAAATTACATGTACAATTATTTGAAATCAGTCTTGGCCATATATATACATGTATATATATATATATAACCATAAAACATATCAGAACAACAAATGACTTAGACGAGTGGTATATGCATGGGTGTTACAGCTGATGCTTACTTATATGTCTTAAGTGCCTAGCAGTAATATAAAACAAGCATTTACGTCTGAAGTAATTTCATAACTGTTTTAACGCTCTTTAATTAATTAATTATTAAAAATTGAAACGTCTCATTGAAGGTTTGACAGCTCATAACTGTTTTAACGCTCTTCAGTTAAGTATTGTCACCCAGTGGAACAACGTTAAGTCTGCGTACGTACAACGCTAAAAATCGGATTTCGATACTCGTGGTGGTCACAGCACAGATAGTCCATTGTGTAGTTCTGTGCTCAATTAAGAATTGAAAAGTGAAACGTCTCACTGTAGGTTTGACAGTTCATAACTGTTTTAATGTTTTCTATGTATGCATTAAAAAGTGAAACGTCTCAATGAAGGTTCAGAGGAGTGTATTCTCTTTAAGTTAAGCACAAAGCTACACAATGGGCTATCTGTGTTCTGCCTACCACAGGTACCGAAACCCAATTTTTAGCGCTGTAAATCCACAGACATGCTGCTGTGTTAACTGAATAAGGATTTGCCTTAACTAAATCAGCACTTATATTGGTAAATTTTAGAGACATCTAATAATAGTAATTGCATTTCAAAGAGTTGTTTAATTTGTTTTATTTTGTTTTTTTGCAAAAGCTGTTGTTTTTTAAATTTTGTTTAAAAACATCCGAGGACCACCTACGCTAGATATTCCCAAATTTGAAGTAATAGGCTCGAGGGAAGTCAACTAGTCAACAGCACCGATCTCCAACTCCTTGTTTGCTCTAATCGAATTGTGGGATTTCACCGTCACTCTTATAACGTGCCCACTGCTTCAAACTGTAGAACGCGATTTATATATTCAGTCTATATATGTCTCTAAGGGGATGCGAACCATGGAATGTCGGATCTACAGTTCGACAGGCTGACTACTTGGCGGCGTTCGATTATTTTTTTATGATTCTGATAGAAAAATTGTCTCATTCTTCCAAAGAACAAATTCAAAATGATATCTAAATTACACATGCTTCTCAGGAAATATATTGGATTAAGAGTATCTTTTCACATTTATTAATAATATATGTGTAGGTGCGTCATAGAGTAAAAAAAATCGTTGCGTCAACATTGCCTTATTCGATGTAAGATCTGATTCTGCAGATACAGAAATATTCTTTTCAGATAATAATATCACTTCATGTTATAGCACATGTAAGAAAAAGACACCATTTCCAACATGAAAGAAAACCTCCGTGAAGTAGCACATACTTTTCATCACACGCACGTAATATTATTAACACTTCACAGTATTATGCTCTATTAACTATGACCTTTAGAACAATCTGAGTTCTTATATGTATGTGTGCTTGTATGTACACACACACACACATATATATATTGTAGTATACTCTCTGTCGAACGTCGGGAATCAGAATTTTATCACTCAGTGAATTTATCACCGAGTGATAATCACTTTAATCACTCAGTGATTACTCTTTACTCCCTTAGCGAGTGCTGTTTTCGTGCATTTTTGAAACATAGTGAATACAGTATATCACTGATTGATTGGTTGCTTTAACATATTCTGAATGGATATAAACGTATTGAATTATCTGTATATGTATAATATATATTTTGTATAGATATCCAAGCTAAATGGCTTATCAGTAGCATTGCCAGTACTCTTACGGAAAAGTACGAATGATGAAATGGAGTAAACAATTCTTTTTAAGTATATATACAAACATATACATATATAGATAACGTGGGGTGGGAAGAGAAGGTACTCACTTCATACGTTAAATTCATAGTCGACAGAGAGGCGGGCCTACTTTCTGTTCAATGGAATAAATGCTGCTCTTTATTGTGTGTGTATGATGTAAAAATATACATGTATAATCATATTAAATATAAACTAATCAACATGTATTATAAAATTCTCGGTACGAAACATATTTATGTTTCACCTGTATATGTTTGAGCCCTCACCCAGTGGCTCGATGGTAAGTCTGAGGGCTTTTATTGCTAAAAATTGGGTTTCAATTGTGTAACTTTGTACTTAACTGCAAATAAACATATTTTTTGACTTGCTTCGAGATTTAATCCAGGCAGCTGGTGCCGCAGGTGAAAAATTCACCAGTGGGTCGATATCAAAACAGTTATATTTACAACTAGACTAGAGTTTTTGTCTTGGTCATCTTTCTCAAGCTTATTATAATTATGAGCTACCAATACCGAAGTGATCCATGTAATATGAAAAAAACATTTTTCATCACGAGATGGCGCTTCTCAGACACTAAGACGAAAACTGTTGTGCAAAATGAGTCAGACGAGCGTGATGAAAAGGCGCGTTCAGGTAATCCAACTTAAACCTTCGAGACGTCTAGTGATTTAAATACTTTCGTGAAGAAAACTTTCTGTCTTGAAATAATTATTTTTGTATTTTATCTTATTTGAATACGACAGGACATAAAGTAAAATCACTTAGGTAAAGACGTAAATTACTAAATACTAATAATTGTTCATAAGTTTAAGGATTAAATAATGATGGAAACAATTCCCAGCAACATATCATTTAATGACAGCGTTGAGATGAACGGTAAATTGGCGTCATTTGAAATGAAATGGTCAGTTGAAAAAATCTGCATTGTATGTATGTATTGTATCATATTTATCTTCTCTGTACTGGGCAATACCTTGGTTATTGTGACCTTGGTCCAAAATAAGAGGATGAAAACTGTGACCAATGTCTTCTTGATGAACTTGGCGGTCAGTGATCTACTCCTTGGAGTCTTCTGCATGCCCTTCACCCTGGTTGGTAGTTTATTGAGAAACTTCATTTTTGGGGAGGTTATGTGTCGTCTTATTCCATACCTTCAAGGTGAGTGTATATTTATCGAATTACCCGTCATTCAGTCTATCTTATTCATATTATGTAATTTATTCTACCAGTTTCAGTTAGTCTGTTTGTTTGAAGTTAAGTACAAAGCTACACAATGGGCTACCTGTGCTCTGCCCACCACAGGTATCAAAACCAGGTTTCTGCCAGTTTTAATGAAATAGTGTAAGTTTTCGCTTGACTACGAAAGAAACTTCAGATCTAGAGTGGCAGTGGCAGAGCGGTATGCCTGCAGACTTATACGTTAGAAACAGGGTTTCGATACCCGTGGTAGGCACATAGCCCATTGTGTAGCTTTGTGCTTAATTAGAGACATAATCGAGTCGAAATTACTTTATTCTATAACATACGAATTATTCATTATTTTTTGTTCCTGTGGTTTTTAATACAAATTATTGACTTTTAATTTCCAGGCAACGTATTTTTTACAGTTATTTATACAACACGCGTGTATAAAAACATAGTAACCTCAGTGGCAGCTATTTATGAAGCATATAGAGACACGGTAATTCTGACAGTGACAGTTTTGCAGAGAATATAAATAGGAGAAAATAGGGTAAAATGGCCTTCTTAAATTTGAATTCGCATTCCGTCAATTAAGATGAATGTCATGAAAAAGCAAAATATTTTAAAAGGAACTTTGTTATATTTTAAAAGACATTTCTACTCAAAACAAAGATTAGTCATATATATTTCTTGGATATTGAAAAAATGCACTTTTTATGCTTTAGAGCCGTTTTACCTATAAGGTTGGATAAAACGGACCCCAAAATGGGGTAAAATGATCCTTATCTAGCTCATAACATGTGCAATTTAAAATAAATGATTTATTTAAATCACTTAACTCGCCATTTAAATGTTCTAGGCAGGGATCGGGAAGATCGTGCGCAATGGCGCAAAAGAACATGAATACAAGTGTGGTGAAATGACATATATTACGGCCGAAATCTATGAAAGAATATACACACCCACAACCTTGAAGTACAGAGTCACAGTCCGGCATTAGACCATTCCCTGTCCTATTCGTTTGATATCGTTCAAGAAGTGTTTTGTTAATGTATCTCCTTATCTAACAGAAACCTTCAGAAGTATCTTAAAATTTATGTTTCAGGTGGTTTATGGATTATCTTAAAATATTGCTTTCTACCACAAATATCGTCATATATAATGGATTTGGATCATCAACCTCTTAATTGTCTGTATCATACAAATTACAATCTACACTCGTAACTTAAGCTTCTATCGCTCAACTACAAGAGCAGTTTGTCAGTAACCGTCGCGCTCCGAAAACTTTTCCATAACAAGTTGGTGATTAGTTCAAAATTTATTTCCAATTTAGAAACTAACAACATCCTTAACAACAGTTCAGCATTAAATCTTTTGTAAATATGAAGCCTCTTAGAAGTGTCTGAACTCTTATTGAAGATTCTTGTTTTTAGTCTACCCATTTCACTCAACAAATGTGAACATAACACTTAAGTTTAGCAAGGTGATTAACTTGGAAGATAAACATCAATTGTACAAGACTCTTAACTTTTATAACTGTTTTACTTGCACGTTTTAAGATACTTAATGATCAGCACCTTTTTACTTAGAGATGGTATACGTTTGAAAAGACATAATAGTAAAAAATGCTTACTTGTAAACTGCACATGTTCCAAGACATTAAGTGTTTAAAATTATTTTAATGAGTACTGTACAACTTATATAGGCCACGTAGTGTTCAAAGACAGTTTATTAGGCATAACACAACACATGATTCTGATTGAATATTAATATTCAAAGTTTATTACTGAAAGTGAAAATTATAACTTGAAAGCTCTATTACAATATACAAAATTTAAATTGTTTTTTTTTTTTGGCTTGAAGACGGGTCACTTTACAAGATGTTTAGACAATAATTTTTTGTATAACATTTTGTTACTCTTAGTTGTCATTCACAAGAAATTTAGTGTACATGTAGCATGCCGGTTAGAGTATAAATCTATTTCATTTGTTGATTGTATACACGTTCCCAGACATTGAGAGTTTAAAGATATTTTTTACTTGTAGGCGGTACATGTTGCCAGGCATTTTTGTTTAAAAAGTATATTATTTGCAGATGATATACATGTTACAAACCACTTAGTGTTTAAAAGTTTCTTACTTATAGGCCAGACATTGAGAGTTTAAAGATATTTTTTACTTGTAGGCGGTACATGTTGCCAGGCATTTTTGTTTAAAAAGTATATTATTTGCAGATGATATACATGTTACAAACCACTTAGTGTTTAAAAGTTTCTTACTTATAGGCGGTACACGTTGCCAGACATTGAGAGATTTTTTACCTGTAGACGTTATACGTTATAATCTACAATAAAATTATTGTTCAAAAGCTTCTTAATTAGAGTAAGTACAAGTTATAAAATCATATTGTTCAAACTCCCTCTCATTGAGACCATGCATGTTACAAGATACTTATATTTCCTTTCTTGTAGAAAGTACATCTTATTTCAAATATTTGTCTAGTATAAAACGAGTTTCATCCACTAGCTAACGTTTCGAGCTAATTTATTCGTCTACAGTGAACCTATATTCATTTAGGACTCTAAGATTATTAAGCATTAACGCCACTAACTTGTTATTCCAAATTATTTAGTAAACAGGTTATATCTAAAATAAATAGGAAGCCCTTGTCCAGGGTTACTAAAGAGGGCTGGAATTCCCTGAAACCGGTATAACCCAGTGACAAGTGATGAAGGGAATGATAGCTTGAGCTTCATGGTTAATTTAAACGTTTTGAACTGTTGGGATAGCCTTTTGTCAAGTGATCATTATCATCATCAATGGGAATTTCTGTGCTCGCTTTTCACGTTCTGATCATATGGCTAATGCAGTTTCGTATCTTCATTAAGAATAATTACAATTCACAAAGGAAACAGTGACGGCTGATTGTAGGTCAATACTCTCGTCGACATGGTTAGGCATGCAAGTGAACGTAAAACCATCGTGAAACAAATTGAAAATTCCCAGATACTAACAACTCATTCAACTTAAAGTATATAGATCGGGCGTAGCTTAGTTGTTATTGTGCTCAAAATTTGTATGCGAGAGTTCATGGTTCGCAGCCTATTGCCGCAAAAATGCATTTCGCTCTTTTGGACTGTAGATGTGTTATAAGTAGTGTTCTAATTTACCCGATATTGACCTCTTCCCCCAAATGCTATTTTCTAACTTTGAATTAAATCGAAAATTTACCGGATAGACAGAAGACTGTACGTGAATAAACGCGTGCGCAGTTTTCTGTGATTCAAACACAACATTACAGGCCTGAAATCGACGAAGGTAGACATACCTGCCTGTTAGAAAAATGATGATTTTTATTTTTATTTTACAATTATTAGAATAAAATAGCTTTACATCATTTGTTTCAACAACAGAAAATAGAGAACAGCAGGGGGATATTGGAGAGACTGAGAAAAAAAAGAAAGAGATGTAGACATGGGTTCAGTATAGTAGTGTAGTAGGTAAAGGATCATTATTTAATTTCTTTAGTGCATATTGATGTATAGAAGATATATTAATACTAGAAATAAACGACCTTATAACACCAAAATGTGGTTTATATTTATAACCACATTTATATTTATAACGTTGAGTGTTTAATGAAATAAAAACAACATTTTGGTGTTATAAGGTCATTTATTTCCAGTATTAATAGGTAAGGGGTCAGTTGGTATTAACAAAGTATATCTGTTTGATTTCTGAATCATAATTACCTTAATAATAATAACAATAACTACATTTCTTCAATATTAGGCAGAAAACGCAAAATATCTGTTGACTGGGTGAAAAAATATTCTAATTTCAAACTTTCTAAATAAAATAGTGGTATTAGGCCTAAAGAAGAAGCTGTTGTATGTAAATACTGTGCATAAAAGATATTAGTTGATAAACAAAGTAGCAATATGACAGGATAAATAAGCACCTTTGTAGTGCACATCATATTTGTCTTAAACAAGAGGCTGGGAAATTGAGTTCTACAACAGTGGAACCAACTTTAATTGAAATGCAGGTCAGGCAAAGGAGTAAAGAGGCAGAAGTTCAGAGTGCAATTTGTTCAGTTGTTGAAGCACTTTCCAAAGATGGTTTGAGTTTACATGCGACTGATGGATTTTAGGAAAGTTTATGAAGAAATTCTGTCGAGCAACTTAAAAAATGTCAAAGTACACTGATTTGCAAGAAAAGTACTTACTTGACATCTTTCAGAAACTTGAGACAGAAATTAAAAAGTAAGTAAAAGATAAAACAAAAAATTACGTCTGATTGTTAATGAGTCCTCGGATGTACTTGGAAAGTCCATAATCATTACAATGAGGTCATATTACAACACTGTAAAAGGGGATCGTGAGATTGCACCACGAGATGTTTCTAATGTTGCTGTCTCAATCAGTGTCAGCATTGATATAATTACTGCAATATGAGAAGAAGTGGTCTGATGTTATTGCCAATGTATTTGATTCTACACAATACATGCAAAAGATGGTGGCATGCGTGTTGGTCAAGGCGTCAGTAAACTCCTGCATGTAAACAAATTGACAAATTTAATTCATGTTTCTGTTGACACTTCCCTTAGCTGATCTGCAATGTCAGATGCTAGAAAAGAGGATAAGAAATTAGAACAACTGTACAATGAAAAGTGTACTAAACTTGCAATTGAAAATATAATGAATCCTCCAGTTGTTCCTACTAGGTGGTTCGGTTTCACTAAGTCTGCGTATTTTTATACGCATTTTGGTTGGTCTAACGGCTCTCTTGAAAATAGAAGATACCCTGAACAAAAAAGCTGCCTGACATTAGAGAAATCATTCCCACTCACCAACAGCAGCAAAGAATCTATACATTGGTTTTGTTGCTGAAAGATAAGCTTGAACTGGTTCCAACTGTGCAGAAAGAATTAGAGTGAGACGGTTCTATGTTACACAAAATGGAACATTGTGGAA